TAATGTTCAAACAATGAAAGCAGTCATAGTGCAAGCTTTGTTAAAGTAATCGTGAACAAACTATTAACATATTTTTATAATATGCTACTAGATCATCCTTCACTACAATTTAAGCAAAATGAATTGTGTACATAATTTGTCAACAGTATAAACAAATAATAATTTTTAGGATTTTTTTTAGGTTAAACAAAGTCCATCTGAATAAATATTTTGACATAAACTTAAACTATCAAACTACACATTGAAACTGTGGGTACTATGCAGAATCATTACTGCAATAACCTGTGTTTTGGGCATCAGCAAGTTCCAATGCTTTTTTCTGCTCACTATGGGTTTTCCTGAGCTATCAATCCTACTGACAGAACTGGGCTAAAGGTTAAATATTTAATGGATAAATAGAAGTCTATGTTGTGGGAATACTTTTGTTATCCATCCATTTTTGTTTGTTTTAATCTCAATAAGCTAGCGAGCAGTATAGGAGAGAAGTGAAATTGGTAATTCAAGGAGTTATATGGAAGAAAGAAAAAAATAAAGGAACAATAGATACTCACAAGTTGTCATTTCTCATACTGGATAGGCAACTCAGAATTTTTGGGAAGGGTACAAAGATGCTTTAAATGTAGACACTGAGTTGGCATATTTCTGGAAATGACTATAATCCTAATAGGAATCCATGTTTTATAACTAGAACCACAATGTTTAAATTTATCTAAAAAATGAAATTGCTGATGACACTAGAAGAAACCCCTGGGAATAGAGTCCTTGGCATCTGAATATAGCAAGTACCTAGGGACAATTTCAAGTATATAATTGGCTCCAGAGTATGCCAGCTTCAGTGTATTAAAAAGTAATATATTTGAATCTACTAAAAGAATGGTGAATATTGAAATAATTTCAACAAAAAAGAATCACAATTTCTCTAATATTTGTGTCTTCCCAAGGTGTAATCTTGTGGATTATAGAGACTGAGGAACATAAAAAGAAAGGCCAAGTATCCCACTTCACCAATTTGAGGACACAATTGTTCCTGTCCTACTCTGAGAAATGGGATTATTTCACTAGTCAGATCAATCTCATAGGCTTTGAATAATGGATACAAATAGCTCTTATGAAATTGCTTAACAGGACAATGTAAAGCTATGGCTGCTATTTATCAGGCTAGTCACAAAACTGTGCACCTAACAGTCTGTGATCTCTGTCATTAAAGATACATCACTTCATCACTTGTGCTTCAGTTTATTCATTCTTGAACATATTAACTAAGGTGTTCACCATCATAGACTTTGAGAGTGTGACTTAAAATATTTACTGATGAAAATCAAAGACCACAGTTTTCAGTATGGGTTGCATCTCAATGTTAAGAAAACAAAAATATTCGCAACTGGAACAATAAATGACATCAACATAAATGGAGAAGAGTTTGAAGTTGTCAAACACTTCATTTTTTCTCATATAAACTGTCAATAATCATGGAAGCAGCAGTCAGACATCAAAAAGTGTATTGTATTAAGCAAATCTGCTACACAAGACCTTTTAAACGTGTTTAAGAGCAAAGAGTCAGTTTGAGAACTAAGTTGTGCCTAACCCAAACCCTGTTATTTTCAACTGTCTCATATGCATGTGAAATTAGGAGACCATCAAGAAACTGATGCATTTGAGTTATGGTACTAGAAGAGAATATTAAAAGGACTCTGATACTGCCAGAAGAACAAACCAATATTTGTTGGAAGAAGTAAAACCAGAATGCTTCTTAGAATTCTGGATGGCCAGACTTTGTGTCTTATACTTTGGACCAATTGTCAAGAAGAACTAGTCCCTGGAGGAAGACATCATGTTTGGTAAAGTATATGTTCAGCAGAAAAGAGGAAGACTCTCCATGAGATGGATAGGTGCATTGGCAGCAGCAATGGGCTCAAGTATAGCAAAGACTGTGAGATTGGCACAGGACTGAAAATTCTGTTGTAGATAAGCAGATATGAATTGGTACTGACTCTATGAGACCTAATAACAACAAAAAGAAGTCCAATGAAAAGGAGGAATCAACTCAATGAGAGGGACTGACACAATAGCCACATCCATGGAGTCAAATATACACAAAATCATGAAGATGGCTCAGTACTGGTTAATGTTTCATTCTATGAATAAGTCCCCAAGGAATCAGTTGGTTGAATAACAATCAACAACAACAGAATTTGAAGTTATGTTAATAGATACATGCAAACATAGTATTCATATTTCCAACTTAA